TAACGTTTAATATGTCAGCATGTAAAACAATCATTATTATCTAACGTTTAATATATCAGCATGTTAAACAATCATTATTATCTAACGTTTAATATGTCAGCATGTAAAACAATCATTATTATCTAACGTTTAATATGTCAGCACGTAAAACAATCATTATTATCTAACGTTTAATATATCAGCATGTTAAACAATCATTATTATCTAACGTTTAATATGTCAGCACGTAAAACAATCATTATTATATAACGTTTAATATGTCAGCACGTAAAACAATCATTATTATCTAGCGTTTAATATGTTAGCACTTAAAACAATCATTATTATCTAACGTTTAATATGTCAGTATGTAAAACAATCATTATTATCTAACGTTTAATGTGTCAGTACGTAATTCCTTGCTTTTGGTCTGCTAAAATGTAATATTGAGTGGAGAGTTTGTTAAGGTCTGACACTTGAAGTCGTAACACTTATGGACTTCCTTGCTTTTGATCTGCTAAAATGTAATCTTGAGTGGAGAGTTTGTTAAGGTCTGACACTGACCTCACCATCTTTCGCAAATATTGTTTTAATACTTTATAGCAGTATTACCTAATTGTATCAATCACAGGAGCAAGATCGAAGATGAAAGGCAGCGGAAGATCGTTCTTATGTAGCACGATTCTTTTTTCCACACATCTGTTAAAATATGATTTACGCAAGAGTAGTTCTTAATAAAATGTCAAATCCAGCGAAATACATTTTAGAGGTTTTGTTTTGCTCGAACTAAATATTTATAAATAAGTCTTTGAAGGAATTTTACAAGTTATTTAGTGGAAACTTTCTTGTTCTTGCAAATAAGTTTTGGAGTTTTCAAGCTTCTATTTTTATGTTTTTGCAATAGCTTAAAATACAACAAACATTTTAAACCAAACATGAGCATTGGGTGAATAATATGGTGATTTTGTAAGTTTGTATATTTTTTCGCATACACTGCACTTCACGCGGTATTCCATAAACCCCACAGAGATCTTGCTGTTAATTTACCATGGTGAATTTTTATTCTCGAGAGAAAAGTTTGAGGGAAGAAGTGGAGTTTCGAAGGTTTAGTTTATCGTTGCGAAATTTTCTATCTTACTGAGAAACAAGGTCAACCAGGTCAGTTTCTCTTGAATACAACCAACCATGAAACGGTTGCTAATTTTCTTGAACCAGCCGTAAAAATTAAAACCGCGAAATAACAGGCAATTAACGGTAACGCAGTAAAGATCCGCCTGTAGTAGGTTTAAGGTGGAAAATTTTTACCCATCAAAAGAATATCTGAATCAGCATGAGGCTGGGCTTGTGAATGAAAGTTCTTGGCAACTTTCAATCCTTCACCCATGTCATTCACCAGTGAGCTACATGCTATGACGTCAACTTGTGATTGAATTACTGAGATGTATATTATCCTAAGTCGTTAGAGGTTTAAGAATAGACACAAGAGTTCGTTGTTTAAATCACCGAACGTAACATTTGCTCATGGAAACCTATCTCTTAAGCTTTGTTTAGTTAACATGCGCATATCTTCTTTAGTAGCTACCAAATGATGTAAGACTTCACCTTCTTCCGTCTTGTTTGCCTAAATTTGTCTCTAGAACCGTATGGCAGTAAGAAAAGAAGGTGTAATTCAAATCCAAATGCACAAATTTAGGAGCCGGATGTCTTAGCATAGTGCCCTTGAGTTATATATTTGTCAAGTCTTTTGATAAAAACCGATAGTTAACAACATTAATGTCCGAGGGTTTTAAGTTACCTTGTGTTTTATGATAGAATCTATTCTGGACCTACAAGATCTGAATGGTAACATTTAATATTGATTTTCGAAACTCATAGAGAATACGATGCTCATACGAAAGCAGTGAACTTTAAAATATATTTTACAAGTGAACATATATATGTTGCTGTACCTTTAAGTAAACACTTAATCTGTATATTAATTCATATCTCATTTCTGGTTTGTCAATAAACATTTCTTCCAGACTTTCTTACAATATAGAAACTTTCGGGATCAAAACTCAAGAAGACATTACTATTTTTTTGTATTCTTACAATTATTAACAATTTGTAAGACTGTAAAAAAACTGAAAATATAATACATTTAAATTAGTTATTTCTTTAGAAGTCTAATAAATAATACATTTTTTGGCAGTGTCCAAAGATGATTTATCCAGAAATCAATCAAGCCAAGATTCTTCTGGTGCACAAATTAGTGTTTCAACAGATGCACAGTATTTTCCAGCAGAAATGCTTTCCGGAGTTCCATTAGATATTGTGTCATCTTCACGAGGGAGTATCCAATCTTCTAACGCACAACTCTTTCATGGTCATGACAATGTTGATTGTGCTGGTCCTTCGAGAACATTTACATCTCCTACCTTCTTCGCCTCCCCTTCCCCCAGCTGCAACCAGATCGTTGTTAGGCACCATGATCGATCACTTTTGAATTCTCCTCGTAAGATATCTCGAGGTTCGCCAGCTTCACCGGCAGGTGTCACATTAACCCCTGTTTCTTCAGATATATCATGCTTGCAAGAACGTCTTGACTCTTTATCTAGCTGCAACGAAGACCTCTTAAATACCTTTCTTGCAGCAGATCCTACTTACTCGAACCCTGATCATTTCTCTCCTGTAACAACATCTACAGGATCAAGTGAAGGATTAGATACACTGGACTTTAGTCTTGAAAAAAAAGACCAAATGAGTTGTGATACATACGTTTATCGACAGAATAACTCGAAAGCTATAGCTACAAGTTTTAGTAGTAGCTCGCGGTGTAATTTTGTGAAACATGATTTGACCCCCGAATGGATCAAACCGGACACTTATTGGAATAAATACCCTGTTCTTCCATCAGTCAGTAGCAGCCGATCATCCACTTTCTCCGATATTCAAAATCCTGTTCTAAGTTCTTTACATCACTTTAACAGTAGTTTTTCTGGTACACAGAATACTCTTACGTCACCATATTTTGACCAAGCGTCTTCAATCCCAAGTTTTTCTAGCCAAAGACATTCAGCTAAGTCATCCATTTCAGGTCGTGTGTCAAGAACAAAACGCGCACTGTCTATCACGCCCTTATCAGCAGAAGGTTTGGATCTTAATACAATCATCCGAATGTCTCCCACGTCCTTAGTCCCTTATTGGAGTTGCTCTCGTAGCTCTTCCTCGAGCATGTCGGGTTCTTCCGCTAGTCGACGTGGTTCCTATGGCCATCTGTCCGCCCGTAATAGTAGCAGTAGTCCTCACTCGGGGTCAACATCTTCTGTACACCGCCTCAGTGCTATACATACTCCACAGACCAGTGGAACTAGGGGCTCCAAAGACGATATACACGACCTTGAAAGCCATCTACTTTTGTACCAAAACATGCAGGCTCTCGAAGCCGATGACTGTTCATCGCCCAATGATCTCAGCTCGAGTAATTACGTCATTATCCATCAAAATCACGATAATAATATAATAGAACAGCAAAATATATTATGCAAAAATAGATATCTTGAAGATTCTTCTTCGTTCTCTGACATCCCTAAGCCATCCATGAAATCACTCCCTCCTCCACTCCCTCCTCCATCTCTCCCACTCTCCGGTCACTCTAAGTATTTGCCTCCTATAAGTCGACCACCCCCATCTTACGATCAACACATTGCCCGGAAACAAGCCTTCCAGAAAAAGAGCTCATCGGACAGTAGCCAGCCATCTAGCTACTCCAGTTTTGATAGCTCTGAGGGCGATAAGGTTGGTGAAAGGACAGACAGTGACCAAACGTTGAAGCAACAGTATACATGCCGATGGATTGATTGTTCCTTTGTCTTTAAAGAGCAGGAAGAGCTCGTGAAACACATAGAAAAAATACACATTGACCAGAGAAAAGGAGAGGATTTTGCGTGTTTCTGGCAAGGTTGTTCCAGACGCTATCGGCCCTTTAACGCTCGCTATAAACTTCTCATTCACATGCGAGTTCATTCAGGGGAAAAGCCAAATAAATGCAAGGTGTGTGTGTGTGTGTGTTTTTATTTTATTTCTAGTTCTGACTTTCTTTAGTAGTTTTAGGCGTTATTTACAGAGTTTGCAGAAAACACTGTTGTACCTAGCTGTTTCATTAATGTTATTAAAGTTAAAACCCTTGTTTTATATTTGTACCTTAAATTTTGTAGTCTCAAGCTCCGTGCTCTATATAATAGGCTGTTTAAAAGTTTATTTTTGCTGTGTGATAATAGCCGAGTTCTATATATCTATACTCTTATGTACATGCCCCCCAGTGGCACAGCGGTATGTCTGCGGACTTACAACGCTAGAATCCAGGTTTCGATACCAGTGGTGGGCAGAGCACAGGTAGCCCATTGTGTAGCTTTGTGCATAACTACAAACAGCAACAACTTATGTACATAGTGAATACCATAATATCATATAACAAATAAATTTAACTTTTAAATATTAGACAGCCTGTTGGGACGAATAAGAAAACTGAACATTAACCATGTATATATACAGTTTAGACTATAATCCATATTATTATACACATATTTTATATCTAACAATCATGTTATCATTTTCTATATTACCTAATGCTATATAAATACGTTGTAGGTTTGATTTGGAGGTAAAAATAGTTGACAGAAGTAATAATATAGAGAACTATGTCTTTCCTCACCTAATGAGAATCCAGTGAGTGTTTAAAGTTTGTTTGCTACCAACGACCTGTACTTCGTTATTCCACGTTCCATATTTTACTGCTATAAATATTAGACTGAAGTTTGGTATTCAAATATTACTGAATTTCTCAGACAGATCTTTTTACTATATTGTATGTACTCGTAATTCTATGACGCGATTAATATATTTATATAGCAAATAACTAAATAATTTTCACTCATCACCAGGATCATTTCCATCAGAACGAGGAGTCTTAAATTGTTTCACAAATTTTACCATTTTTATTTGTAAAAATATTCTTTTAGAAAGCACAAACACACATGAAAGTAAATAATTCTTTAATAATCTCTTGTTTAAGTTTAGAGTTTTTTGTTTCTTTACTAAATCTATCTAAGTGTTGTGCTGTGATTGTGCTTTTTGGGGGGGGGGGATGTACAGTAAAAATGATGTTGATGGTTTGAAATATGTTGTATTCTAACTTCACAACACATTCTACGTCATAACGTGCTTGTGTCTTGAGACAGATGACGTCGAAGTTAACGTAGCATAAAAACAAAGTATCAATAGAAAACCGTCTTAGTAGCTTAACTTAACTACAGACATTTGTATTAATATTTAATCATATCTTAACAGTTTGAAGGATGTAATAAAGCTTTTTCTCGACTGGAAAACTTGAAAATTCATCTCCGTTCTCATACTGGTGAGAGACCGTATGTTTGTCAGCACACTGGTTGTGCCAAGGCCTTCAGTAACTCCTCAGATAGAGCAAAGCATCAGAGGACACATCAAGACACGGTGAGTGACATCTTACTGGGCATTTTCACAAGTCTGTGGGGCTCAACTGTGGTAAAATATAGCTATGATAATTAGTACCACAAAGAATAGTTTAACTTTTGACTTGAAATCTTCTTTTATACATATTAAGAAAACTAAATGAATTGGTTAATTAAGTGAATATCTAAAGAAAGTAAAAGTTACAAAAAAATAAACACATTGTTTAGGTTTCAACGAGATATAATATTTTGTTAAAGGTAATAATGCACAAGACTGGACTATTTGTTAGATAACAAAACTCATGCTTAGTTATCACAAAATCTCTTTTTGTCTTACGTTATTCCATTTTCTGTGCAACTAAAGAAACAAGGATTTTTGTGATTGTTTAAATCCATTAATTTTGAGACACTGTGATTCGAGAGTATCGTCAACTTTTAGAAGTTCGATAAAGGAGTGAAGTGAAATTATAATTTGACAAAAACATTTACGTGCTGACATATTAAACGTTAAATAATAATGCTTGTTTTACATGCTGACATATTAAACGTTAGATAATAATGATTGTTTTACGTGCTGACAAATTAAACGTTAGATAATAATGATTGTTTTACGTGCTGACAAATTAAACGTTAGATAATAATGCTTGTTTTACATGCTGACATATTAAACGTTAGATAATAATGATTGTTTTACATGCTGGCATATTAAACGTTAGATAATAATGCTTGTTTTACATGCTGACATATTAAACGTTAGATAATAATGCTTGTTTTACATGCTGACATATTAAACGTTAGATAATAATGATTGTTTTACGTGCTGACATATTAAACGTTAGATAATAATGATTGTTGTCCATAAGTGTTACGACTTCAAGTGTCAGACCTTAACAAACTCTCCACTCAAGATTACATTTTAGGCAGACCAAAAGCAAGGAA